TGCAAATCAGTCTATGGACTCACTTACAGAAATGACATATAATTACAATGGTTTAAACACACACTTAGATGACAGAGCAAAACAAGGAAACATACTGTCTGACAGCTACTGTATTACTACCATATTTTACAAACTGTGAATACCTTTTAACAAATAAAACATTAGAAACGCTAGAACATGAGAAATGGTTTAGCTGATCTGCAAAGAAGAGAAACTGCCATCTACACTAAAACTGCTCGGAAGTAGATCTCTTGCTCTTTTTAAGAGATTCTTCTCTTTCAATGATGATACTTCTCTACTGCTACTGGCGGACTAAGTCAACTGCATATTTAGAAAGGAATTATGGAGGAGAAAAATAGCTAACTAGGGAACTGGGTTATCTTCCCTCCCAAATTCCACACTGAACGCTCTCTATCAAACACCGTGTTCATCTCCAACTGCACGGTACTATTATAATCCCTTAAGAGGAAAACAGTTTTGTTTCTTATTTTTGTTTCACTAGCTAGACAAATACAGAATGCAAACATATCACGTTGCAATTATGCCCCTTGGGGGACTGAAATTGTTACAATGACATCCCCTATTACATTTTTTTCTACAGTGGGTAATGTTATTATATATAAGTGTTTAATAAGGGGAACCTCACACTTTTCATAATCCAAACTATTTGTTAGAAAGGAGAAAATAAAAACTAAGTATGTGTGCTTGCATGCAAGAGGTGGTGGTAAGCATTTTAAAACAGACCTACAAAGAAAAGCAGAATAGACTACAGGTTTGCTGCCATGCCACTTTTTGTGCAAGCAGTTTAGCACTAGCTCTCAATAACAAAGGAAAAGAAATATCAAAATAATACTGCCATACCTTAAAAATGAAAGACAACTAAATGAGCAATTATTTGCAATCAACCTAATCAAGCAGGAAAGCCTATAGCCTCTTATGCTATTATWCAAACTCACTAAATGCTAAAGTCTTCTGAAATAACTGCTGAATATATTACCAATACCATTCCAAAACACATGTTTTCTTAACATAATTTTAAAGTTATTACTTTTTGACACTCCTTTGTAGTTCCCCAAACCACTTTCCCCCCTACTGCTCATGACATATTTAGTCCTTGTACAAGTGTGGGACACAACAGCTTTGCCCTGAGCACTGAAAAAAACCCCTCTTCTCACACTGTCATCTTTCTTCTAAAGAAAAGTCATTTTTTTCAACTCTGAAGCTAATCACCTGTCAAAAAAAAAAAAAATCACTACAGCCTAGCTTTTCTATGCATCCCCATTCTCTTTGCCAAACAACATCCCAAAAGCAGATAAATATATATATACACACACAGAGGAAAATCACAGCTCCTTAAACTCTTAAGGATTTACTGCCTTTCAAGCCAGAAGGAGAGCACTGTCTCTCCTCATCCCCATGACTTCTGCTGGTAGAGGGCTGCTTAAGGCAAAATTCCCATTTGCAGCCCACAACGGCACTCGAGGGTTTTTTCCTCTTCCTCCCTCTGGCCAAAACATCCCCCGGTTCACGCATTAGGGAGCAGTTTCTCCTCCCATCTGCAACGCACCTTGAGCGCGGTGCTAAAACTCCTGGGACGGTTTGCGCGCGCCCCTCCCCGACCCCCAGTGATCCTCCCCAGGCTGGAGTACACGCGGGCGCCTGGTTTGGGGAGGACCCGAGTATTTTATTATTATTGTACTTTATTTCGTATTGAAAGGCCATGTCGCTTACCGAGCAGCAGGACAAAAGGTGCCTCCGCTCCCCGCGCACACCCGCCCGAGGAGGAAAGTTCAACGCGGCGCCAGGAGGGTCCCCCCCAACGGGAGCGTCTCGCTCCCCCCTGCCCCCCCCTACAGCCCTCCCTTCCCGCCCTGCTCCACAAACGCCCGGCCCCGTCACGG